TTTTTGTGACATCGTGTGTCGGTAGAATTTTTTCGCGTACTGCTCGTATTTGTTGGGTGGTCGGTCGGTGGACTGGTGAACGGATCTGCTCGGGGCAGCCTCATCAAGTGGGAACACGTACAAATCCTTTGTGTGCCGAGCCTGCTCCGAGCCGAGACGAGGCGAGGCGAGGCCGAACTTGCTTCCTGCTTAACGTTCAAAGTGCGTGTCTCTGCAGATAAATTCTGTTTGTTCTTCCCCCCCTCCACCGCACTGCCCATTTCCACGCGTTTTTTTCCATGGTAATTCCCATATTTTAACATTTTTAAATGCATTCAAATTAAGTAGAGCGAAGGGCAGGGTGGTGGCAGGGCGCCCAAAGGGTTGCACAAACAACACGCAGAAGATAGCTAAATTGCATATAAATAAGAGAAAAAGGAGAGAACTTCTATTGCCACGCGCATTCCATTCCAGATGTTCCACGGATCGACGTTAATTGGCTACGCCACGGCGCCAAGAGATGCTCAGTAAATGGGGAGGTTTGGTCAGTAATCGGGAGACTACTCAAAAAGCAGCATCTGCTGCTTAACGGTCTTCCATATATATACCTTTGAAATTAGCAGAGGCAGAGCGAAGTAGTCGAGTGGAACTGTAAAAGCTGAATTTGGCTTTTACTCGATTGAATTCAAATAGAAATTAATTGGAAAAATAGCGCCAGAAACAAGTAGCCTTAATATAGGGCTTACTCTTTGAAAACTCAAAGCTCACATCAAATCAACAATAAAATCAAACAAATCAAGTTAATTGGAAAAAAATAAGCTTCAAAATTGATTGAGATCTTCTCATTTTTCGGTGGCAATCTGTGCGGTCATCTGTCCTCAAGTATATTAATTATTATTAAACGCTTCTATTCAGTGTGATAGTTGTAGGTTAAAAACTGCAAAAAGGTACCTTAAAATTTTTTCCAAGTGTCTTTTGTCGTGCCAGAAGTTCGAAAATTAATCTAGCCAACACTTCTGATGGGCATCCTTTAGTTTGGCTGGGGACGCGCGGGGGGGGGGCCACCCAAAAAAAAAAAAAAACAAAAAAACAAAAAAAAAAAGGAAGGGGGAAGGGGGGGGGGGGGAAAAAAAAAAAAAAAAAAAAAAAAAAAAAGGAAGGAAGGGGGGGGGGGGGCCGCCGGGGGGGGGGGGGGGGGGGGGGAAACCCCGGCCGGGGGGGGGGGGGGGGGGGGGGGGGCGGGGGGGGGGGGGGGGGGGGGGGGGGGGGGGGCCGGCGGGGGGGGGGGGAAAACCCAAAAAAGGAAAAAAAAAAAAAAGGGGGGGGGGGGGGGGGGGGGGGGGGAAAAAAGGGGGGGGGAGGAAAAAAGGGGGGGGCGGGGGGGGGGGGGGGGGGGGGGGGGAAAAAAAAAAAAAAAAGGGGGAAAAGAAAAAGAAAAAAAAAAAAAAAAAAAAAAAGCATTAGTTAAAGCATTTATTTACATCATATGAACAAACATACATATATTTATGCATACAAATTTTGGTGCATGAAAATACTCATGAACTAGACAGAGAACTGGATGTCATTGGCTGCTAACATCTAAGCAGCAAATATACCGCGTGTGAGTTTCGCTTCGTTGTTGGCTTTTTTCGTTTATTTACTTTAAAACCGTAGTTTCTCATCAGATATAGAAAAAAAATAAAAAAGCTAAAAAGAAAAAACGTGTAGCGCTCTTTTTGCTACCTACTTTTATACCGGTTTTTTCTTTTGTACATCTTTTGCTATATCTGTACATCAATGTCGAATACACATATAAAATGTAGATTATACATCTTCTCTGCTAGCGGATATACGAACTTACGAACTTCTCTTGATACGAATTTATACGTGACTTACTATCAGCAGAAGCACGTTCTTAACAATACAGCAATATGCATTCAAAGGGTATTTCTCGTTTCACAAAATTGTTTTATGAATAGCGACAAAAAGGCGAAATTTTGTAATCTCGAAAACATTGAAAAAAGAATGGAAATCGGGTTCATTTCGTTATTTGAACTGTAAACCTATGCATGTACAGCGCTTATTTTAGATTTCCTCTTTTACTATTAATTATCACATCATTCCATCCATTTAATCTCTTTTATTTATTTTTATTTATTTCCTGTTTGGATATATTTAGATTTATTTTATTTATTTATTATTTTAGTTCTAAATTCCCTCCTGCTATTTGCTTGCTGTAGAAATTGAACTTTAAGCATTTTTAATTAAGAATCTTCAGTTTTATCCAAAATCCTTTCAAAGCCACAACCACCCCATCCATCCAACCTCCCCCATCCACCGCTGCTTGTGAAAATGTCTGAATTCCATTTGGGAATTAATTCAATTATGCACAAATGTCAAGATGAAATTGTGGCTGGATTGAAATTTTCGCTGACACATAATGGGTTAATGGCACGTGGAGTTAAGCGCCATACACCTGGTCCCCCCTGGCCCACTGGCCCAGCCAGCCTGGAGGAGTCGTTGCCCGAAAGTTGATCAAACAAAGGACATAAAGATTTGAAAAACTCGCGCATCATTTCAGTCAACCAAATGGCTATAGTCTGTCCTTTGGATTCACCATTTCTCCGCCTCTGCCTCTGCCCTGCCTGCCGTTGCCGCAGCCTCTTCCTTCATCTCTCTGCCAGCTTAAGCCGAGTCCTTGGCTCTGGCTAAATGAAATACATAAATGTCATTCATTCATTCATTTATGCAAAACTTGTAATAATGACAATCGTCCTAGCCGGAGCCGAACGACACTGTGAGAGCGAAAGTTCTGGCTGAAGAACTGAAGATGTGGCACCACCTCCACCTCCATCTCCACTCCATCCAGCAGCCCAACGTTTCGCCAAATACAAAAATAAATTACCAGCCAACAGAGAAAAGAAACAGGAAAGCAAGCAAGGATTGCTTTGTAGACATTCGGATACCCGAAGCATTGGATACTCTTCATTAAGTGTTAGTCAGTTAGCTATAGCTATAGCTATACACATAGCGTATCGCTGCTGATATGCCCGTATACCCCAACGTGCATCCTTCCTCTGAAATATCAAAGCATCCATTTTGTAGGGTGTACAGGAAAAAAAGGACAGAAAACTGAAAATGAAAATTTTCTGTTGACACCGAAAGATTTTCATGGCAATGGCGACGATGGCTGTCAAAAATTTTGTGTGTACGCGCGCGAAAAATTTTTCTGCCAAGGTGCGATGAATTTTCCGTCCTGTACCCTCATCCTTCTCCTCCTCCCTCCTCCCACCGCAAATCACCGCTGTACCCCTACCAAGTTACCAAGTTCCTTCGCCTGCTACCACTGTTACTACTGGTGCTGTTGTTGTGCGGTAATAAAATTCTTAATGTGCCATTAAATCCTTCCACTGGCAACGTCATCAGCGCGTCATGACTTTTGTCGACGCCAAAAAACCGGCAGCAGCACCAGTATAGCGGGAAAAAGGGAGTGGGAGTGGGAGTGGCAGTGTTGGCTTGGGTTGGAGCTATAGTCCGACTTGAGACTGAAGTTGTCTTGGAATTCCGCCAGGCAGTTGGCAACGGGAATGGGAAAAATCTAACGAAAATGCTCTCTACGAAATGGCACGTAAATAAATTGCAAAGATTTGTCGTTTCAACCAAAAATGGAATGGAAGATGGGCACACCGCTACGCCCACACCCACACCCACACCCTTGCCCACTCTGACTCCATATCCCTTCCCCTCTTCGTGGAACACCTGCACTGGAGGAGGAAGCTTCTGTGCGGTTTGCCTGCCGTCAGGGCCCAAAAGAAAGCGGACAACAAATGAGTTAACATTTTTGGAGCGGATAGCAGGGGCACCACTTTGTCATCATGATTATTGTCATTTGGTTGAGGTGATTCAATGCATTTAGATTGCATAATTAAGTTATGCCCCTTCCCCTTACCCTTACCCGGCCACCAGCCAAATTTTGACGATTGAACGTCCCCGAAATGCGGCATTTGAAATGACGATTGGACTCGTATGCGTAGCGTTAGCCCAAAGACACGACCACCCGATGGGGAGTAGTGATTGTTCCCCTATTTTTATATCCTTAAAAAGGGTATAGACGACTGTGAGCTCTCCCTTGCCACAGTCTCGCCGCGCAACAGTCCCTATGATTGTGATCTGTGCAGCAGCTAAATCTTTCAGGCTAAACATAATCTATTGATTGGTGCAACGGCGTATCCAAAATTCGATACATTGTGAGGCGAGGACGAGGTTCTACGAGGCTCAGCAAAGGCGGGAGTAGTGGAAAGCTTCCTCAAGCCAGACAAGACAACAGCACGTTCTGCGTTTTTTTAACAACATTTTATATATCAACCAAATTATTAGATAAGGAAAAACAGAAAAGATTTGGGGCTACCTTTCATGAATAGTTCTCAATGAATATCAAATTAAATTGTTCAAATTCATTTATTTGTAATGATTTTCATTCATGCATGTGAGAGTTTTTCCGTACACCACGACAATCATTATTTTTTCCCTTCCAGAAGTCTAGAAGCTCCTGTAAAGGCAATTAGGTCTACAAGAATCTTGTTTCTAATGATAAAATTGCCTAAAAGTATTATTTTTAAGTGATATATGGGAATTTACATTTTACCTTCATTTGTCAATGTAAACAATATATTTTTGTTGTTGTTTCTAGTTGTGATAGCTCACACGATAATCGGAAAATCGAACAAACGCAACTGAAACGCACCCATAGGAGCCACCACTAGGCTCCCATGCTAAACCTATGTAAAAAACTGAGTTTTGCCCTAAACGAAATAAATCAACAACTCAACCGTAGTGTAAACAGGCTATTAGTTAATTTCTTAAACATTTTCTACACCCGAAAGCCGGTTTCATAGCAGCTACGCTGTCCCCGATTTCCCACACATCGATAACATCTTAATATCGATAGCCTTGAAACATTTTACAGCACCATCTCGAAAGACATTTTTCAACACCGTCTCGAAGTCCAGCGTGACAATTGCAATTGGAAAAGAAATCTAATTGTTCGAAGAAATCAACGCCATAATAATAATAATGTCCAAGCAGCTTTACCGCTCGTGCACCCTGGGCGACACGTTGCAGGATACTCTCGACGAGCTAATCCAGGTGAGTCCTTTCCCAGTGCGGCGGCAAAGAAGCGGCATTTCAGCGAGTCGCTTCACAAATGCGAAAATATACCATTAACTCTTGGCCCTTCAACTGCCCCACTGCAGAACGATCTGATCACGCCAGCCCTGGCCCACAAGGTGCTCATCCAGTACGATAAAAGCATTATCGAGGCCCTCAAACAGAAGGCGAAGGCAAACTTATCCATCAAGGCGAAAAAGCTGAGGACCTACAACCTGTGCGACAATGTGTGGTCCCTCAAGCTGGAAGATGTCGAAATCCGCGAGCTGCACGAAATCGTCAAGGTCGACAAGGTGAAAATTGTGGCAACCGAAGCCCCAAAGGAAGACAACAAGAAATGATTGTTTAACGACGAAAACGATAAGCCAAATCATTGTTCAAACAACAAAACATTAAACAAAATAGCAAAATAGACATTTGAATTCAGTGATTGATGGATAGGAAATCATAAGCTGCTTTTCCAGTGCATGGCGACGGTGGGTTCCTTTGTGTCGAGTAGCGAGTAGAAGCTTGAGCAGATTCTGTGTGGGTCAGCGAGTTGCCTGCAAAAACTGAGTGCCAGGAAACGTAAAAAAGAAAGAAAATTCAACCATTGAGTTAGTGTCACAATACATACATACACATACGTATTGTGTGTGTGTGTGGCTATAGCCAAGGGTTCGGTCAGACCCACCCCAACTGCACTCTCCACTCCTGGAGCCAAGTGTGGGGTGAGGTGCATGGCTACCGAATCCAGCAGTCGTGGATTGATGGCTCGAGCATTGGCTATGGGTGACCCTCCTCGGGGCAGCAGTGTAACAGTATCACACACAAGTATCAGTATTGCCTTGGCTGGACAACTGATTGTTGCATTCACGAGTTTCCAGTCGAAGACTTTATGACGAGTACATTTGTTGTTTTAGATTTTATTCAATGCATCCATGGGTACAAAAATGATTGCTGCCTGGCAAGGACTTCTACACTTTTACATTCAATTGAATTTGATTACAATTCGATATTACAACTAAGGGAACCGATGCTGACTCAACGATGGCCTTTACCCCACAGCTTGGCTTTGAGCTGCATATACTCTATCAAATTACGTCCACTCTCTGCATCCGTGCTAATTCCCATACGATACCAGTGGGTGCATGAGTGTAGCAGACAGAAAGAACTCCTATTCTGTTAGTCGAACACCACCAACTGAGCTCGATAGATATCCCATTACTGGGGGATTGCATACGGGCAGCCTCCTACGTGGCTTGATGTCCGCGTTCAGATTGTGGAGTACAGCTTCAAAGATTTTCACACGTGGGTTTTGAAGGTGTCCAGTTGCAGGGCTTGCTCAATTGATTCCCTGACGGCCAGATTCTGCTGCAGATGTAGGGCTAGGGCCGACTCGACTTCCAGCAGCCATACATAAGAGCCAATCCCGTCCATGTTCAGTGTGGATATGGGCAGTCTGCCCGAGTATAGGTAGCCAAGGATTCAGCTCATACAGCCGAATCTGATGCCCCTTTAACTCGAACCTGCTCGCGTAGTGCTCTACGGAGGCTTGTCCGAGTCAAAGGAGCCTCAGATTGGGCTGTATGGGACGAAGGAGGCACGCAAGGAAGTGGGCACGGAACTATTCAGTGCGCGCGGTCGGAATCAGGCTGTGCGACGGTAGGTCCGCGACGGCGGACGAAGAGGTTGTGTAGCCTGGCTGTTCCTTTTTGCTGCTTCCCCGGTGTGTGGACCGGTGCGAGTTTGTTTATATTTGTAATCTGCATATTTAATATTCAATAGACTGACTTTAGCAGCACTTTAGCACCATATTTTTCTTCCGCAATTTCTTTTTGTTGTAAGCTCAATTTTCCTGTCACTCGCTCCAAAGTGAAGTTGGCTGCGCCAAGAAAAATATCGATTGATATATTGAATTGCAATAATCGGACCAGTTATTCGACTGAAAGCCAGTAGACGTGTCTAGAGAAGGCTACGAGCAACAATTTATCTATCATGCTATTCCTTCTCTATGCAGCAAATTTAGCCAAGTCTTTTCAGCGATATATCGCAGAATTTTCAAACCACCGACATCCATGAGACAATTATTTTCCATCTTGACGCATGAAAGGAAGAAGCTGTTGTGCGTTTTTAATTTTTAGTTCTTGAAACCACCATTGGGGCTGAGGATGTGGCGGTGTATAAGGAGGACATCAAAGTCAAGCAGCAGGCGTGGATTGACTTTAATGGTTGAAGCAACCAAAAGGCGCGAGGAAGCTCTAAATAATTACGAGGCCGGCCACCCAAGCAAACCGTGAGGACTTGAACCCGATTCCGATTTTCAGTGTGCTACCATCCTTCTCCCCACCCTTTTCATAACTTATTTCTGCTTTTGTTTCGGAGGGAATGCATTTCGATTGTCGGTCTCCACTGGCCTCCTCTTCGAGTGTTTAATATTTCTGCCTCGGGTTTTCGCCGGTGCCGCACAACAAAAGCTGGCTCTGGATGGCCACTTGTCGATATTTAACATAATTGTGGCATTGTGCAGAGTTCACCCACGCACTGGCCTACACCCCCCTGCTTGGGCGAAATCAAAAAGAGTTCAAGTGTCAGCGTTTAAGTCGTCGGTGGCTCCAGAGTACCGCCTCAGGCAGTTAATGGACCAGCCCTGCGTTTCGGTCCACAGGGCTCAGCTCACGGCGGATGTGCAATTGCAGCAAGAGGCCGCTGCCTATACTGTAATTACTGCTGCATATGGTATATACTCATACATACATATGTCTGTAAGTGTATGTGGCATGCCTAAGCATTTATGCCAGCTTTGAGACCATGTTTCAAGTATTCCAAGAATTCCAAGAGTACAAGAATGATCGGTGGGGCATAGCAATCAAGGTAGGTAGGTACCCTTATGGGGAGTGCTGAGGCATTGAGCTGTGTTTACGCTTCAATAGCCAAACTATGAGAGAAATTAATGAACGAATGTAGCTATAAATTGGCTTTGAACTTACATATAACTTTAACCACTAAAGGTACAAGAGAACTAATTCAAAATTAATGAAAATGTAGGCGAATTTTTTCTTTCCATTCACTTCTGGCCCTTCAAACTCCTCAACGGAGTCTTGGACTTGCCCTGAAGACTCTGCCACTAGGCTCTTTCCAGTTGTTGTGGTAAATATTTAATATATTTTATCCCTCTAAGTCGAATTCCTTCTTTAAACCTTTCACGGACTGTCTGCCACTTTCTGTTATTGTGTAGGCATTATTTTATTGTACAGCAGTAGGCCCTTGGCATTTGACTGTCAAAAATCTATAGTTGCCAAAATCCACAGACTTTATTCAGTTTCTTTCGAGCATTCGAATACTAAACATCAGCAGTAAACAAAATAAATTCAAAATTCATTCTGCAAGCCATTCTTTCTCTATTAAAAAATTACAAGTATCCACAGTGATAATACATTTGACTGTCTGTCACACACAGGTATGCTGCAACTTTATACTGAATCATTTTCTTTCTAAAAAAAAATCAAATCTTTAGATTTTGAATATTTTTCCAAATTTTGTTGCAGAACTGCTTTGGTTTATAATTTCCGGTCGTTTAGTAAATAAAAAGTGAGTGCAAGTGAAATTTTTAATTGAAATTGCATGGCAATAGCATCTTTGCAGCACTCTACTCTTCAATCATGAGACGTGTCAGCGCAATGTTCCGTCCGGCCATGGGCTCCGTCAGCTTCTATGGGCAGGGTGTCTCTGTCGCCCCCGAGCTCAGCCCCCTTCGACGCAGCATAAGCCACAGCGCCATCCAAAGCTTCAAGCATATTAATAAGGAGACCAACTGGAATGTTCGCATGACTGGAAGCGGCTCAATGCTATTCCGGAGCAGACACATGGGTGATGGCAACGCCAACGCCAAGGCCAAGGCCAACAAGCCCCCCAAGAGTAGCGACACTGCCCGCGTAATGCCACACACCAAGCTGGCGACTTCAACAGCCAGTGAGACAGAGCCTGTGGCCCGGATGCAGACCCCGGATTATCGAGAGTACGCCCGCTACCGCAACTCGATACGTGAGAGCAACATGTGGCGCGACCCCGCCCGCCCGGACACCAACTGGCTGAAGCCCCGCAGCTCTTCGACCTACAAGCCGGACTTTGCCAACACAGAGCCGGATAGCTTGAAGCGGAGCTTTATGCGCAGCCCGGACGAGAAGTCAAAGGATATGGCGAATCGCGACTTGGCAAAGGCCGTGCAGAAGCTGCGCTTTATACCCAGCCCGGCCCCAATGTCCGCCACAGCCCAAGTTGTACGCCAGACCGCCGATGCCTTGGAGTCGCTTCCCAAGCCTTTTGAGAACAAATTTCCCCGTGCAAACACCACCAATCGTCGCACGTTCATGCGTTCCGCCACTGAACTCTCTCCCAATAACCAAAAGAAGAGGTTTTAATCGATCTCAGATGCCAGCAAGAGTAGAGCGCCGCATATAATTTGATTGTACAAATATCAAAAAAAAAAACTAGAAATAATTAAATTAATAATGCCCAAAGAATTGGGCAACACTAGCACATTATAAATATAAATAAATATAATAAATATAAATACATATATGTCAAATTAAGACAATTAACATACTGGCGGACTCGCGTTGTATTTGGAATAAACAGTATCGAATATATGTACATGCACACACACTTATGTATGTACCTAAATACATAGAGTTCAAGTCCCTATTGAACTTCCAACAATTGTGGCCCTTGGTATTGATGCCAGGACTCTGAACTCCCGGACAACGGCTTAGGCCGGACAAAGGCTTCAAATTCGCGAGGTTTCAGAGAGTAATCGCGGCATCGAATGCCGATCGTTGAGGCTCGGTTCTCTCTTCTCTTTGCTAGAATCGTGTTCCGCTTCTTGTCGCTCTCTCACTGTTAGCACTCTGTTAGTTTTGTTCGCTCTGTGGCTCTGCTGACTCTGCTGACTCTGTTACTCTCTGTGGCTTCCCACCACAACCATTCCACACATATGACATTCCTTTCCTTTCCCTGAGTATCTCTGAGCTGTATATACGGTTGCGAGTACTCGTATTATCAATAAGAAAGCAAGAAGAAAATTTGTGTGCGCGTTAGAGGAGGAGGAGGGCAGGACAGGGTATATGGATGGCAACACCTTCGCTACGGCCATTAATTTTTACTGCTTTTGGGTTTTCAATTTGCCCCGAAGAAGGAGACACAACGAGCACGCGGATGCCATTTAACGCTGCATAGAAAATCAAACGCAAAAGGTCAAAGACAAAGACAAGAAGTGGAAGTGAAAATAGCAGGGTGCAGGGTGATGGTGCAGGGGGAAAGCACCTTGTGATATATGCCAAGCCCTCTGTCTCCCACTGTCTGAGTGTCTCAGCAGCCACGGGTCTTCGGCCTCCCCCTCCACTCAACCACCAAATGGACAGGACCAGTAACCCTTTATCGAGTCAGAGCAGGAGCAGGAGTCGGAGCAGAAGCTGGCAAGTGTTGATTTAGGGTTGCAAACAGAAATTATGATAATGCCTGTGAAAACAACAGAACTCCGAGTGGCAGGGACACCAAGAGATATATAGACAGAGCCAGAGGAAGGGGCCAAAACCCCAAAAGCAAAGGAAAATATATTAAATGTTATTGAGAGGAACTAATTTTCATTAAAAGGATTAAAAAGCATTTGGCAAAAAAGAAGAAGGAGGCGGGCTGGCTGGCTGGCTGGTGGATGATGGTTGAGGATGGGCTAGGGGTTGGGGATGCGGCAGGGTGGAGTGAATGGGTAAGGTGGTCTCTGGCAACCGCGATGTTGTCGCTGCTTATAAATTAACATAAAAATCATAAAAATATGACACTATGAGGCCAGGGCCAACGCCAACATGGCATGGGCATGGGCCATGGGCCATGGGCATGGGCATTCTACAGTATCATTCCATCTAGGGGCGTTGCCTGCAAAAGAGAAACTCTTCAGGAAGTCCTGTAGTTCAAATTGCGTGTAAAATGACGAAAGTTCTATCAGTGTATCGTTGTATATATAAATATTTCCTTATTTCCTGCACTTCAGTTGTCCCCAAACGATGCACTGAATTGATGCCAGTCCCAGGCTGAAACCCAAAACGATCAAGAAGTGCTGCCTGAAATGTTGCAAAAATCTACTATGATTAATTTTGTTTTAACTTAATAATTTAATTGCTTTAAACTATACTTTTTTTAAGGAAGAATCAGCATCTGTTATGTAACGTAACCCCTCTTCATCTGAGCCACTGGTCATCCACATCGACATCATCGTCAGCGTCATCATCACGAACGTATGATGCTCATTAAGAGAGGGGCTGCGAAAGGGGTGGCTGATGGGTGGCGGATGGGTGGCGGATGGTAAGTGGGCGGAGGTGGGAGTGGGGGGTGGGGGGGGGGGAAGAACATTGATGGCAATGCGCGACAATCAACACGAGGCGCGCTGATAGCGCACAGCGGGCCGAAGTGGCCGAGGTCTGGCTTGACGTTGAGGTGCTCCGGAGTTACTTGGATTTTGTGTTCGGTTCGGCTCTGTTCTGTTCTGTTCTCTTCTGTTGGGTGGGAGGATTAGTAATGGCCGTGGTTGGGGGTTGGGGGTGGGGGGGGGTTAAAGGTGGGCCAGCTCAGCTCATGCTTGGCATCGTTTTGATGATACCAAATGCTGATGACGATACCAAACCACCTCAGCATTAGCATTAGCATCAGCATCAGCATCAACCCAATCCTCCTGCCCCTGCTGGTCTCTGTTCTGTTCTGTTCTGTGGAGCGTTGTTTGCTTTTTTGTGGGCGTCGCTGCCTGCCACTTAGTAACTCACCCGCAGTTTATTATTTTCAAAATATTTAAATTTTTTGGTAATAAGCGAAAAATGGTTTTAATATAACCGAATGGGCGGACGTACTGGCGCGGACGTGCCTGATGACGATGATGCCAAAGATGATGCTGACGATGTTGTGGCTCTTCCCCATCGCTGTTTCTGCTGCTTCGTGGGTGAAGGCATTAGGGGGTTGATTGGATCACCTGCCAGGTGCAGATTATCCCAGGGAATATAAAGTCGCTTATAGAACACCTTCTTTGGGTAGAAAAAGAGTCGAGGGATATACATAGAGATTATCAAATGATAAATATTCAATTAGAGACTTTCTGGACTATCTTCAGCGTAGAAAATCTTCGATAAAAAATCAATTTCCATGAATTGTTTGAAAACTTAATGGACTCCAATAGCTTACTTTTCGATGACTGCACTCGACAAGTAATTAAATTAGTTTCACTTCTTTCAGACACAAAAGCTGCAAATAAATTTAAAATATTTATATAATTTTGGGAAAATTTTCCAAAGAATTGGCTTTAATTTTCAGTCTATGAAATGTACTCCCTAGAGCAGGAGGCATAGAATGCTCTTTGAATTAGCTATGCGAATGATGCAGCCATAAAGAAGTTCATTAGATGCCAAACAACAGACAGCGTCGAGTCGTTTCAGTAGAGTAGAGTCGAGTAGAGCTCCCCATGGAGCTCCAAGGCTGGTTCAATAGACAAAGGCATCTCCAGGAATATTTTGTTCATGCATTATAATCATTATCATTATTAGCATTATTGTCAGGCAGGACAGAGTCGAGTCGAGTCGAGTCGAGAGCAGTGGGAAGAGGGAAATGGGAGGAGCAGACAGCTTTGAATTATGCAATGCAGTCCAAAGGGAACGTTGGGGTTTGGTTACGTGAAGAATGGAATGGAATGGAAGGGAATGGTATGGTGACCCAACTCGTTCACTTCGTTTTCGTTGTCAAATGCAAAAATCGCGAGCCGAAAGGCAGCTTCCTTTTCCTTTTTCCATCACTCCTCTTCCTCTCTCTCTCTCTCCCACTCTGGCTGAGGGAAATTTTCCAAAAATTCTATTATTATTAATAGAGGCAAAAGAGGAGAGAGCTGTAGCTGTACTGCTGAGGCTGAGGCTGCAACTGGATCTGTAGCGAGACGACCATGACGACTGTGCAGCGACAGTGCCTTGGTATGCGTTTGTCTTTTGCGCTCGAGAGTCGACTACAATAACCCCCAAAAATGCACACAGTTTGCATTATAATGCGAAATTTTCGATTGCTCATTTGTGGCATTTACTTTTTACTATAAAAGTTTTATAGCCAGTCGGCTGGCTGGAGGATGCCGCGACCGGGACGAACAACGACAACGGGAACGGCAATGTCGACGACAGCTACAAAATTTTACACAATGTCATCAACGTTGGCTGACAATGTTGGAGAAGGTTCGGTGGACAGCCACTGCCACTGCGACAATTGTGTGCAATTTTTGGGCACTAGACTTAAAGGATTACTCTTGGCTAATTTCGCAATGCTTCGGCCAAGGTAAAGGGACTTGGCCAGCGAACAAGGCGATGCCTATAGAGCATTGTCCGTCGTCTAAGGTCCTGTTGCTTAGGCTGCTCGACAGCATCTTTGATGTTACTACCGCGCCTTCGGACAGACAGCCTCGAAGGCATTGCTTTGTCTCGATGATTCAGGGGATGGTTCAGGCTGGAAACCCGGCAGGTGGCTAGTTTTTGGGGTTGGACCTGAAAGGATTTTGGGAAACTTTCGTCCATTTGGTTGCTTATTCTGCTGTGCAGTTGAAATCGTTGGCATTCCCATCGAGTTGTCTGAGGAATGCATTTAATGGGAAGGTTGGTAGTTTTATACCAGACATCTTTTAAAGTTTTTTTTTTTTTAATTTATTATAAAGATTTCTCCGTTCTTGATATCTGCTCTTTTATTGATTTATGCTATTTAGACTTATCAGGAGGACATCAGGCATTGCCAGGAACAAGATCATATTCACATACCGTCGCACCTTATCGACGCCCTTCTTGCCCTTCACCCACAGACCGAATCAAGCAAGAATTTGGCCTGCTTGTGTCAAAAAAAAAACCCAAAGAGGACAACATTATCGAGGGCCGCCACCAGATCCAGATACTCCTCTTTTCTTCTGAGTTCGGAGCCCGATTATGCTGAAGGTGAGGCTTGGGATCTGCTTTAACACGAAGATTGGACGCCTCCTCCACCCAGCCTCCCAGCTTGCAAAGAGAAACTTCTAGTATACTCGAGTGCCAGCGGGCGTGGATCCGTTCTCAAAATTTGCTCTGTCAACGATACTCACCTGATGGCCTTCTAGGTGACTCCAGAAATAAATTAGAAAAATAAACCTAAGGTAGAACGCGGAGCACCGGACCTATTATTTGGGCGGTTTTTCGGCAATATTGATTTGTAATATTTTCAAATGATTTTCGAACACAATAAATTATGAGAACATGCCACAAACAATTTTAACTCTACTCCAACTTTCAGTAAATTTGTGGCCAAACTCTGCCGTTAGAGAAATAATTTTAGTTTAATTTAATTAAGCCTAAAATAAATGGTATTAATCACTTTTTTATTCATTTTTATGCTCTGTATGCAAAGTATTGTTTCCGTTAGAAGCATCGACCATGGGCATCGAAAAAATACTCTAAACTACAAAACGATGCCAAAACGATGCCGAAACGATATTTTTCGATGTTTTCCTCACCAGGCGAACAGAAAAATCAGAAAGCG